CGCTGAGCTAGGTGTCACCCCAAAGGCGCATTTTTTACTCGCCTCCCCCCTCCTCGTTGCTTTCCTACTCTCCCTGATAGTCCCGTATGCCCTTCCCTTTTCTCATTTCCTCCCTGCGACAGAGGACACACCCGAGCCGGGGGCGGCCCCCGGGGACCGAAGTGCGGAGGAGGAAGGCGCAGGAAGTGGGCGGGGCGGGGCGCGGCTCCGTCCCCTCCTCTGCGGCCGCGGCGTGCAGCCTGGGCGGCTCCCCCTCGCCGCGGCATCCCCCTCTCGCGGCAGCCCCCGACGCCGTCCTCGCCCTTGCAGCCCGCGGCCGCCCTCCCCCAACCGCCGCCGCGCCCGCTCCCCGACTCCTCCGCCCGTTCTCACCGCCTCCCCAGTCGTGTCCCCCGCTTGGGGTGCATTCTGCGGCGTCCTGTTGGGGAACTCGGCGGACCTGGGGAGGAAAGCCCGGCCGCGGGGAGGGTTCGTGCTGCTCTGCCCACCCCCCAAGCAGCCCCGGAGCCCGCAGCCGGCTTCCCGGGGATGCCCCTTCCTGCAGGGCCACCTGGGGCCGCCTTGGTCCCCGGGGCATTTGGAGTCAGAGGGCTGCTTAAAGCAAAGCCCCGAGAACGCGCCCTACTTCATGCTTGTAACTTTGCTCCCCTGTATTTTATTGTCCGGCTAAGGGCTCTCCTGCTGGATTACAGTGGGGAAGGTCAGAGGCTGAGCTCTGTTGGTCGTCGGCCGGCCTGCCTGCCACTCGGGGCAAGTCGGAGTTAATCTGAGCTGCCCTGGGGCTGGGTGCTGATTACCCGGTAGTCAGCCAGGCGGCTGTACCCCAGGTAGTCCTAGAGCCCCCCCACACCTCCTGGATTCGCAGGTGTGACAGTCCACGCCTACACTCGCCAGAGTTCAGTTCCTGTGAGGAGTTGGATTGTGCTCCCCACACACTCGTAAATTAGAATATGTCCTTGTCTGGAAACGTGGTCCTTACCGAGGGAACTCAGGTTGAAGCAAGATTAGGGTTTGTCCCAGCCCAGCTTCAGTAGCACCTACATAAAGAGGGGACATTTGGACAGAGGCTTGCATGAGGGAAGATGGAGAGAAGACACAGACAAAAACAACAACAAAACGAAAACACCTGCAGAAAACAAGCCAAGGGGTGCAGGGGTGCGGAGGCTGTAAGAAGCCTGGACAGACTCTCACTGCAGCACCTTCGTCTGACACTGCTGACCTGCAGTTTCTCCTCTTCTAAACCTCCCTGTTTAAAAAAAAAATTGATAAAATAAAATAAACCTCCCAGTTTATGGGACTACTGCTACCATTACTGCTACTTCTCCTCCTCCCCCTCCCTTCTGCCTCCACCCCCCTTTAAGACAGGGCCTAGCCCAGGCATGGTGGTCCAACCCCTAATCCCAGCACTTAGGAAGCCAAGGCAGGAGAATCACCCTGAATGCAAGGGCAAGGCCAGCCTGGAATGTATAGCAAAGCCCTGTCTCAAAAGAAAAGAGAGAGAGAGATCAGCTATGTTGCCAAGGCTGGCCCCAAATTCTTACTCATAGACTCAGGCAATCCTCATGTTGCAACAAGAGGCTAGCAGGCTGGCTTGCTGTTCTTTCTTTCTTCTTCCTCCCTCCCTTTCCCCTTCCCTTTCTCTCTCTCTTTTTTTCTTTTTGAAGTTTTAGGGATTGAGCCCAGCACCCTCCCACTGAGCCACATCCCCAGCCCTTTTTTTTTTTTTTGAGACAGGGTCTCACTATGCAGTTCAGGCTGGCCTTGCGCTCACTTTGTAGCCCAGGCTGGTCTCAAACTCGCAATGATCCTCCTGCCTCAGCCTCCTGAGTTCTGGGATTACAGGTGTGCCCCACCATGCCAACTTATTTTTTATTTTCAAGGCAGGGTCTCACTAAGATGGTCAGGCTGGGCTTAAGCTCATGACCTTCCTGCCTCAGCCTTCCATCCAGCAAACCAATACAGGGGAGAAACACAAGGGCCTCCTAAGTGAAGACTATTTCAGGGTGGAGGCTACAGTCCCTGGGAGGGCAAAGCCAAAGCTCTGGGGTGCCCTGAGCAGGAGTAGCAGCACCCCCAGGCTGCAAACCGCTCTCAGGCTGAGCTGAGCAGGAATGGCTGGCAGCCCCTGAGGGCCAGGGCCAGTGTTGGCACCTGACCCCATTGCTTGAGGAGGGTTTTGCTTCTGGATTTGGGCAGGGGCAGATGGCAGTGGGAATGGACCAGCAACCCTGCGGAAGAGCACAGCCCCCTCCAGGCCCCAAGTGCTTCCAGGCAAACTCTTTTGAAGTTACAGAGAGGCAGGATGTTGTCAGGCTCACCAGCCAGCGTGGCCGACTCTGACCTGGAAGCTACTTCCTAATTACTACCGGCCCCTGGGGCTGAGGCTTTGGGCGCCTGCCACCTCCTGGGAACCTGGAAATCCTCCTCCTGTCACCAGGGGGCAATTCCTGAGCCCTCTCCACCCTAATACGTCCACCCTGCTCAGCAGACAGGCGCACCGTAGTAGGGTCAGTTTCACAGAATTGGCTTGGCTAAGTGTCCCCATGAGCAGATAAGTCATGGTGGGCTTCTTTTTATATTTATTTTTTCATTGGTACCTGTCATATATAATGATTACATCCGTGGTGAGGAGTTGGTACATGTACATGACATTTCTTAATTCTTTCTTTAACACTCCCACATACAACCCACTGTGAGCAGGAACCAAGCCAGACTTCTGTCCTCTGATCTCCAGTGGTGAAGGTGCTAGGCAAAGTTAAAGCATGCGTGGATGAAGTGTGCTTTGAAAATACAGTTGAACATAAATTTTAAAATTTTAGCCGGGCGTGGTAGTGCACGCCTATAATCCCAGCACTCAGGAGGCTGAGGCAGGAGGATGATTGTGAGTTCCAGACCAGTCTGGGCTACAAAGTGAGCTCAAGCCCAGCCTGAACTACATAGCAAGACCCTGTCTCAAAAAAGACATAAATAAATAAAAATTTATTATAGTCAAAGACACATTGCCATTAATCTCCCTCAAAATCTTCCTTCTAGTTTCAGTTGTTAAGCAGATAGCTAGACATTAACAGGCCTGGGGGATAAATGGCAGGAGGGGTCCAAATAGCACACACTGCCATTGAGTAAAGAAGCTGAGACCTCGATGTATAATGCATTTATAATCATTTGTAAGAACCAGGCCCAAAGAGATCCCACAGAGCACAGGGACCTCTTAAAGTCATACACTGCTCATGGACCGATACGCGGCCACCTGGCTGGCTAACTCCAGGGTAAGGCACACAGCATTCCTGGCTGCTGTAGCCAGTGGCCTAGTGATGCCAGGAAAGGAAATGTTCTTTAAGGACCCTCCTGACTTGGACTGGGACCTGGTTTAAATGAAGAGTTCATCTTTCTCAGATTTTCTTTTGTAAGCTCCTCACATGATTAAAGCCCTGAGGAAACACTGGCCAGGTATTTGTGAGTCCAAAGTAAATTCTAAGTAAAATGTCCACAAGCATCGTAATTATCCTAGCTCTCTGAACCCCAGGAGTAATTTCTGTGCATGTAAAAATATATCCAAACTCACTCCTGGTGCAAATACTTCCTTGGCACTGCCTGCTTTCTCATTTGAGGGTGGAACACCGTATCTATTTTATGATAAATTCAACTTCAATGGCCACCTATATGTCTTGATTGAATTCTTTTTTTTTTTTTTTTTGGTCTTTTTTTGTCTTTTATACAGTTCAGGCTGGACTTCAACTCACTTTATAGCCCAGGCTGGCCTCGGATTCACAGCAATCCTCCTGCCTCAGCCTCCTGAGTGCTGGGATTGAATTCTTTCATCAAAGGCACAAAGAACCAAGGACCAAGGAAGTGAGGGGCTGGTTCCCTGCTGAGTCAGGATCTGGCTTCCCAGTGATGAGGTCATACTTATCCCATTTTCTTGCCACTTTCTGAAGCAGTTCTGGAAGTCCTCTCTCGAGTGTCTTCAGTTGCACTGTTGTGACTGTCTCAGTGCCTTGAAATGATTCAAAACAGTTGCCTTTTGTTTTAGTCAGGGTTTGCAAGGAAAACAATACAGGACACGTAATTTATAGGATTATTTTATAGTAGCCTCCCAAAGAGTCAAGTACAAAGGAGTGCAGGAAATCTGTCCACACAATAAAGACCCAAAGAATCCAGCTGGGCACCTGGATCTCACAGCAATGTCTTGCATGAGTCCTGTTGAAGATCTAGACCCCATAACAATGCCACCTGGGGCTGGGGATTTAGCTCAGCAGCAAAGTGCCTGCCTGGCAAGCGCAAGGTCGTGAGTTTGGTTCCTGGTACCGGAGAAAAACCAAAACAAACAAACAAAAAAAACAAAAACAATGCCACCTATGAGTCCAACCTGAGGCCAAAGCCCATGACAGGGCTGGGGAAAAGCGCCTGCCTGGCAAGCACAAGGTCCTGAGTTCGATTCCTGGTACCAAACAAACAAACAAACAAAAAAAAACAAGAGCCCACAACAATGCCTCATGCAGGCCTGTTTCATGGATCTGTGCTGGGAAGGCCCAAAGGTCAGGGGTAGAAGCTAGAAAGTCTGTGCCAGTGGGATGAAGGCTTATGAAGGATTTTATGAGCCAGCAGGCTTAGGAATCTTCTCTGGAGCTAGGAAGTAATGGTCTAAGTAGGAACCAGAGCTCCCCCAAAAAGTACCACAGCCATCCTCAGTGACAGCGAAGTCCTGAGCTCCTCTGATGATGACAGCTGAGCTCCTATTAGGAAAGCCGGCAGGATAAGCTTCTCCAGGAGACTGAGCAGTACACCATCTTCCCCTCCAAAACCAGGAAGCGATGCTCAAAGTAAGGACTAGAGCTGCCCCAAAGTGAACCGTAGCCATTCTCAGCGACAACAAAGTCCTGAGCTCCTTCGACATTGAGAACAGCCAAGTTCATCAGGAAACCAGTGTGACAAGCTCCTCCAAGGGAACCAGCAGCTCCCTAACCGCACCTCTCCTTCTCCGGTTCTTTTTATTTTGTTGGCAACCGTCCTCCGGCGGGCCTCCCACATCTTGGGCCACACTGATTCAGTTCAGCTGGGTGTTACAAGTTGACCGCCAGTTGTCAATCCACCACACCTTTCATGGTCATTTTGACTTTGGGGATCTGGTGGATATGTGTATGAGAACACATCTAATGCTTACATGAGCCTTCCTTTCTGTTGGATGGCATTCGGCAGCAGCACTCATGGTATTTTTATCATGACTTCCAGAGCTGCTTCAAAAAGTGGCAGGAACAATGGATTGAGTGTGTTTGAGGTGAGGAGAAGTTTTTGAGGGGAGGTTAATGGCAGTATGTCTTTT